TATAGTTTCTGGCCTTAAAGAATTGATTCCAGTGTCTTTAAGCCTCAGGTTACTCATTTGTGAAATAAAAATATAATGCCTACTTCAGTAGATAATGGAGAATTAAATGAGCCTATCACAGTATCCGGCACACAGAAGATGCTCAACAACTGGAGGCTGTGTCCTGAGCATTATTGCTTCTCTGTTTCCTCTGCATGAATGAACTTCTTCCCATTACTTCCTTGTCAAATCCTTCCCAATATATCGTTCACTCAGTGTGAGCTTGGTAAAGACAGGGATTCTGGCTTTTCTCTTCCCCACTGACAGATCCCCTGGGCCTATAACTGTGCCTGTAACATAATAAGAGCTCGATAAGTATTCGTCTGCCTTATCTCCTACCTCAAATGACTGACTTATTAAGGAGATGATTCTTGTTTTATTCATTTTTATAATACCCAAAATTCCTCGTTCAGAGCCTAGAACAAATACATGTTTGTTTAATAAAAGACTGAATGGATAAAAACCCTAATAATTGCCTCAGTACTTCATTTCATTTCTCAAACACCTAATATAGTCATTAATGAACATTTTAAACTGTAATCATAATCATAGTTTCTAGGATTTTTAAGCTCCATATTCAGAAAGGAAAAATGGTACAAATAATATGCCTTCATGTTCAATCAAAAACACATGCAAACCAAAGTTAAAAGCATAAGGAGTGGCATTTATTTTGTTCAATGGCATTAAAAATGTAAAGATTGCTCAATGACTTGGAGTGCGTTTTTCTTAAACCTGTCCACTTTTTAATCCCGGAACAATAAATAGTAAATAGCATGTATTTAATAAAACATTTCTGAAATCAGAGCACATTATTGAGCAATCAATAAAATGTGCCTTTTAATGTATGTGAAGGGCTGATATCACCAGCTTTTTAATGAATCCCCAGACCACAGCAGAAAATTCTATAAATTCCAAATTAGTGAGATTTTTATGAAAGTTATTAGCACACTTGTTCACCTAAGAACTTTATGCTATTTCCTGGGATTTTTAACTGCTTTAATGAGGAAACAGTTACTTTGCCTAAATTTTATTGACAATATAATAGAACAAAGTTCCATTTAGCCATCACTTAAGTCATTCCCCAAGCATTTGCATATCAGATAAGCCTGATAAAATATGGAAGAGATTGTTTGTTTTCACCAAATCCTGATGGGATTTTGTACATAACCATGATTTGAACCCATGTTAGTGAATTTCCTATTGGAAAAATATGACCTTCTACCTTTAAAAATTAAATGACCCCTTCGAGATTTACTAAAGAGAAGGCTCATCTGACTTTACTAACATCAAATGACCCATTCAAAATAACATCTTAATGTATTAGTACATGAATCAAAAACATCTGTATCATGTTTGGCTTAAAATATACATTGATTTGAAAATAAAGTGGAAAGTTTTTATAAAAATGTATGCTTTATTTCAAAGACTCTAAACCATTAAACACATTTTTGATAC